GAGACAGCGCTCCCAAAGTCTCTCATGACCTCTTCCTAGCTAAAGCTCAGAGCCGCCATTTCCTCTCTTTGACCTGTCGGCCGCCTTCAGCGCAGTTGACCGTGCACTTCTGGAAATGGGGTCCTCCCTTGGCTTTCATGACTGTCTTCTCCTGGTTCTCCTCCTGCCTCTCTAATCGCTCCCTCTGGGTGTTCTTTGGGGGATCCTCTTCACAAATTCAGCTCCCAGCTGTATGCTGAGGACTGACAGCTACCTCTCTGCCCCAAACCTGTTTCCCTCTGTCCAAACTGAAATCTTGGCCTCTCTGTGACCTCTTCTCATGGATGTCTAGCTGGCAGCTCGAGCTCAACCTGGCTAAAACCAAGCTCTTAATCACCACCCTTCCTCAAACCCGCCCTGCTACCCCCTTTCTTGATGACTGTAGACAATACTACCATTCAGCCTGTCACGCAGGCGTGTAACCTGGGTGTCCTCTTCAACTCAGACCTCTCTCTAGAGCCTAGCGTCCAGACTGTACAGATCACGCACAACATTTCTGCTTCGTGTTTCTAAGATCCAGCCTTTCCTCTCCATCCACACAGCTAAACTTTTCCCCAGGTTCTCACCATCTCATCTCTCTCACTGCAGCATCCTTCTCTCGGGCTGTCACACACACCGTCTTGCCCTGCAGCTGTCCACTCAGAATGCTGCTGCCAGGATCGTTGTCCCAGCCCATTGCTCTGACGGTGTCACCGTCCCCCTGCATGCTTACGCTGGCTCCTCCTTCTCTAGCTCATCAGACAGACTCGATTTGGTTACATTTTCAAGGCCCTTCGACTGTCCCCAGACTACCTGTCACCTCTCAGTCAGTACTGAAAGGCTGGGTCCTGCCTCCAATCAACTCAGGATTCCAGCCTCCATCACTCGCTTGTTGAATTTTCAAACAAGCCCCTTCCTGCTTTCTCCTGTGCTGCCCTTCACTCTGGGGAGGAGCTTCCCGTAAACATCCGCAAAGCCACCTCTTTTCCTCCTCCACGTCCTTAACGCTCTCCTTTGCCTTGATGCCTACAAAATACTTGACAGGTGGGCCCTGATGCGCTGAGAGCACAGCTTATGCTGATCAATGTCCTCTTGTTTCCTCCTCCTCGACTGTCAGTCTATCTGTATCCACCTAATGTCTCATCTTATACGTAGGTTATAACTCTCTGGGCCAGGGACTCTGTGTTCTGTTTGTACAGTGCCTAGCGCAGTGGAGTCTGGACCCTGACTAGGGCTCTAGGTGCTACCATAAGACAAATAACACTCCTGTGACTGTCTGTCACTGGGACACGCCGGGGCATCCACCCTAACCGTGGCTCCTGACGAGATCCCCGTTCAGGGCGATTGCCTCACTGCTGCTGAAGCCCCAAGTCAGGAGGCAGATGTGTCCCTCGTGCTGGTGCGTGCACATCTACACCGGCATGCCCGCGGGACATCAGCTGCAAAAGAGCAGCAAAGGGGGCGTTGGGATTCCCTCTCATTCTTCCTAAATCCCCCACCCTCGACTCCAGGTGGTCCAGGATGCGGGAGCTTGGGAGCAGGACCACCTCTCCTCCAGCCTCTGCCAGGGCATCCTGTTCGCTCTCCCCTCACCTCCTGTCTCCAAATACAATCAAATACCTTCCTCTTGTTCCCAGAGCTCTGTCTTCCTGCCCTGCTCGCCTGGAACTTCTTAGCCACCTGCCTCCCCTGCACTACTCTGCTCCAGACTGGGGCTCCTGCCCCTTCCCCGCTCGCCTCGTGCGTGCACTGCTGTTTGATAGGAAATCATCCCTGCCCCGTTGCCGCTCCACCAATATTGCTGTGGTGAGTGCTAGTGCAGGCAGCGCAGGTAAAAACGCTTGTGCCCTGTCTGCTCTAGTGCTCACTCTGGTGGATGTGCACAGGGCTAGTGCCAGGGAGGGGTTCCCCAAAAGGGGCAGACAGCCCCTGGGATTCCCCAGTTGAGGGGTGCTTTTTCCTTTATGCTGTCTCATCTGCCTCCGAGTCCCTCCCTCTCTCTAAGCTCTCCATTTCTCATTGGTGTGTGAGGGGCTCTGGACGCTGCTGCGTGTGTGGAGGCTGCTCCAGGAAATGTGATCTGGTAAAGGCCAGGGCCTCTCAGCTGTCATTGGAAATGTTCTCTAGGGCAAGCTGAGGTCATGTCACTTTCCCTGCTTGCTGCTGCTGTGCTGTGTGGGTAGCTCAGCTGTGTCGGCGCAGCCCTTTCCCTTCCCTGAGACTGGAGCCTGCTCTCTGCTGCATGCGCGACTCATGTCTGTGCTGGATTTAGAGGGCTAAGGACATCCCCTCGCAGAGGGTGTTGCAGTATTTCCAGCGGGGGTGAATGGAAAGGAGACAAGCTTCATTTTGTACTTCCGCTGCCTTGGTCTCCCCCGCTGATCGCTTACCTGGGGACTCCGGACAAGTTCGCTTCTGTCTGGGGTTGGATTCCACCAAAGAGCCATTTTAAGTGAATCCCCTTCCCTACCTGTCCCTTGCACAGCTGACCTCCAGGGCAAAACCCTGGCTGGGGGGTATTTTCCCTCGGGCTGCAAGGCTGCTACTGGACTGTTATTTACAGGAAGAGCAGGGGAGTGCACTAAAAACCCTCCTTTGTAGCATCTGAGGCTTAACACTGCCCTCCTTTCTAAGCCAAAGTGCCCCAGGCTGAGTCAGCGTAGCCCAGCACCCGCCCCACAGTGACCCTTGGGTCATCTGCCCTTTCAAGAAACAGAAACAGGTTTTCCTGCCTTGTGCAACACATCAGGCTGGTGACATTGCCGTGTCAGATTGCAGAGCAGTGAACCTGGCCCCACTGCTGCTAGCAGATGACAAGTGACTTTCTCCTCAGCTGATGGGATTGGCAGTGAGTGTAAAGACGTGTGAGGGCACTTCATGAAAGCCCCACTTCTGCTACAAGCACAGCCAGGCTGTGGGACCAGCGGGTAACACTCGGACCTGACCCGGCTGAGCTTGGAACAGCAGGGTCTTCTCCTCTGCCGTCCCCTGCTCACAGGGGCTGCAGCCCTGTGGTGGCCCATTGGTTCTCATGGCTGGCCCTCCGCAAGAGGCTAGACCCCCGGGAAATGCTTTTCATTTGTTATACATTTTTGGAAATTTCTTCTTGTTTGGTTTTATGCATTCCCCTACCCTGAGGGTCAGGTCCTCCCCTGGGGCGTGGGGAGGCCCGGGTTGGGGGGTTGCACATGAGCCTGCCCTGCACTCTTCCCAGAACAGCAGCTCCTGTCCTATGGGGCTGGCTCCGTGCTCTGGGCATTGCAACCTGGTGCATAGCACTTGAGTTTGGCCTGGCTGCTCCTCAGTCATGACGACGGGGGTGGGGGTGGCCAGGATGAATTTGAGTGAGTCATGCTGCACCCCCACATGCTAGGTTGCAATTTCTGGAGCAGGGAGCTGGGCCCAGCCCTGCAGGACAGGAGCCCCTGCTGCAGGATGGAGTTTTCCATTTTTTTTCCATGTTGTTTCACATTTGCAAAAAACTGGGGCTCTACCAATAGCCCCACCCTGTCCGGGGGAAACCGTGTCTAGCCCAAAAAGACACCCACACATCAGGTCTTCAGCCTGCATTCAGACTTTATTGCCTTTCAGCCCCGCTCCAGGGCTTTCTGTGCCACTGTCCTCAGGGGCTGGGAAGGGAACTCAGGTCCATCTTCCACTCTGGGCTCCAGTATGGGGGCTCTCTAAGCAGTTCTGGGCTATCTGCTCCGACCCCCTGCTTCCTCCCTCTCTCATTTTGTACATGGAGTTGGGATTTCAGAGTAGGGATTGTGTTTTCTAACGTGCATTACTTTGCATTTATCAACATAGAATTTCATCTGCTCTGTTGTCACCCCAGTGTAATGAGATCCCGGAGGCACTCTGCAGTCTGTTTTGGCCTTAATGGTAGCACCCCCTGCTGGCAGAGCATGGCACTGCAAACCCTCCTCAATTTCTCCTCACCAGGGTCCTCTGTCTGTCTGGGGGATTCACGTGGCTCAGTCACTTGGAGTTCCAGCTCCCTTCCAAGGGAACACAAGTCAGACAAGCAAAGGTTCTTCTGTCCTGCCTGGGTTTCTTTCCACCCACCTCCAGACTCCGCTCCCAGTGCCTTCTGGACTACCTTGAAGTCTCTCTGCTCTGGGGTAGAGTGCTGACTCCCAGGCTGCTTCCCGGAGTCCCCTCCTTCTTCCAGCCCTTCCCTCAGGGCCTTCCACAGCCACTCAACTTGCCCCCAGGCTTCCTCCTCCAAACTGAGTTCTCTGGGACTGTTATGAGGCCCAGGTGTTTCAGACTGTCACCTGACCCCAGTTAGTCCTGGGAGGCAACTAATTATGGCACAGGTGGAGCTAACTGAACAGGGCTGGCTAGCCCCAGGTCTTGTGGCCCGTAAAGGGGCAGGCCACCCTGTTACAGAGGGACCTTGGGGCTTGGGGAGTGGTCCCCTCTGAGAGCCACTGCACAGGGCATTTCTAGGTCTCATTCTTTTTAGATGTCTGTTGTGGTTTTGTGCTCCCAGAAGGTGGCAAATAGAAGTGGCAGTGGGCGGTGTCCTCTCTCTGTGGTGATGGAGCCAGTTGCATCTTGCTGAGATGCGCTCCTGTGAGAGACCTTGAGCTGAGATGGCGCAGGACAGGTGGAGGATTGCAGGGCACTTCTGTTTTGGTAACGTGTGAGCTGTGCACGGCCCAGGATTTTGGTGCTCACCAGACACGCACAGGTCGTCACGCGCTATGTTCAAGGGCTGCTTCCAGCGGGCCCTCTTGTAGACTCAGCATGGGCTGCTGTTGGCCCCGATCCTGCAGACTTAGGCACTTGCTTAACTTCACTTGCAGCAGTTTTCTTAAGCACGTAGCGCAGCATCAGCCCTTAACATCTGGTAAGAGGGTCTCTGGAACGTCCCAGGTTACTGGAGTCCTGGCCAAAGACAGGGGCCAGAGAGCAGTGTGTATGTGTGGGGAGGGGGAAGGCATGTTGCCTTGCTCATGCCTTGGGGTGGCCTCATGACCCTCTCCTTGGTCTGTCCCCAGAGCATTGCTGAGTATAACCTCAAAGACATCTCGTACACGGTGAAGAACGCCTCGTGCCATGAGCTGACGGTCCTTAGCAGCTCAGACGACCCCATGGTGTTTCACTTCGAAGATGAGCGGGAGGCACAGAAGTGGTGGACGGTTGTCAGCAGCTCCCTGCGGGAGGTGCAGAAAGGTCAGCAATGGCAGGCCGGGTTCTCAGGGGCTGGCTGTGTCCCGGTAGCATTCACGTGTTACAGAGAGAGACGCAGGGGGTGTAATGCGGGGCAATGCCAGGCTTCTCCTGGCCCAGGGCAACACTGGCACCTCGCCCAGAGTCCCAAGGCCGTAGCCGCTGTATGTAACAAGGAGCAGATTGCAGGTCCCGCTCATATGGGGATAGGGACAGCGGGCAGGCCTGGTGCTTCTGTTAAAGTGGCTCAGCTGGGTAGCACCACAGCCTCCGCCTCTCACACCTGCTGGGTCTGGACGGCATGGTGCGTGTCGTCTGAGGTGCACGGCGTGTCTCTGGTGGTAAGCAGCAGCCTGGATTTGCTCTGTCAGTGGTGGCGATCCGGCGAATAGCGCTGGCTGGGGGCTCCAGGAAAGCAGGGGCCGGTCTCTGGCTGGGCTGTGCACTGATTGTAGATGCGACGCAGGCAGGCAGTGTCTGTGTCAGGCTGGGCTGTGGGTGGCTGGTGTGCACTGGTCAGTTATCAAGCTGGGGACAGGAGTCGGGGTCGAGCCGGATCAGGATACCAAGGAGTATCAGGCACCAGGTTACAGACAGGAGGCAAGTAGCGGAATCGGGGACGAACCAGGGTCAGGAGCTGGAGTCCAGGGTCCACAGCAAGGCATGGGCTGGAGTGGAAGCAAGCACACAATCCGCGTGTGCTCAGACAGCCCCCTAACTGGCTTCCTGGTTTGTATACTGGCATTGGCAATCAGGAGGCTCCAGTACTTCCTGCAGTGCCTAGCTTAACAGGGTCCCCCAGCTGGAACCCGGCCTGAGGTCCTGTGGCGAGGCCCAGAACCTCCATGGTCCCAGGTTCTAGTCTGGCAGGTGCTTACAGGCTGGGCGTCAGCAGGACTCAGATGTGGAGAGGCAGGCAGCAGAACTGATGCTCTCCCAAGCAACACCCACTCTGACACTAGAAGGAGTCGCCACTCGCAGATTATATAGTTCTTGGTGTGGCTGTTGCTCCTCTCTGTGCTGTGATCAGTAAGAGAGAGTTAACGTTTACGCTGCCATCATTAGGGTTAAGAATTAACACTCCGCTATGATGAATGGTGCAGTCCACAATCTTTGGGCGGTGGTTTCAGGTTGGCTGTAGGCTCGGCATGCTTTACTGAAGTGGATGCTCCTGATTCACCTTTTGAAGGTTTTCCTCACAACTGTAAGGGCTAGAGACTTAGATATCTGTGTTTTTGTAATGCTAGCTGAGATTCTGGAGCCCCCGGTGGCAGCCCTCAGAGTACTGGCTAACTGAGCTGCCACTAGCCAGCTCTGCTTGACCCCTGAGTGGCAGAGTGCCAGCAGGGTAAGGGTGCCATGTCTCTTCTCTCGGGCCGCAGTCAGCCACGGAGAGAACTCACTGCCTTGTCTGTATATTTTAGTACAGATTGGTGAGTGGATTTAGTGCTAATTCAAGCCAGGGACTGCTGGAGCTGGGTATAACGTTGGCTGGTTCCCTGCAGCGCTCTGCCAGTGCACAGCCATCCTGGCCTGCAGCGCTCTGCCAGGGCCTTGGCGTGAGATTGCGAGACTCCTTGTACCAGCAGCTGCCCAGGGTCTCTTCCTCCCGCCCTGGCCTTGCCCTTGCTAGGAGGGAAGATAAGCCTCACCATGAGGGAGCGAACTGGTGGGAGAAGGTCTGGAGAGATAGGAAGGGGCCTGGGAGTAACTGCACAGATTCCCCCGGGCAAGGGGGAAGCTGCGCGCCCACAGGGTGGGAGGAGCAGAAACGCTGTCACTGCCCAAAGGGATGCCCTGAGGAACCAGGGAAACAGCGTGTGCCTGCTTCCTCGGGTGCTGCGATTGTCGGGGTAACTGTGACCGTGGCGGGCGAAGCATTTCAGACTGTGTGTGCGTGAGCTGACGTTAGCCCTTCAGTCGCCGGACACCTGGGTGGGGGCAGATTGCAATTGCCCCCCTGCCATTCGCAGCCCCTCCAGGAAGCCCCCATATTGACCCACCTTTTCCTTGCGGAACTAACACCGGAGCTTCCCAGGGACGGCGCTGGCTTGGCTACAGCGGCCCCAACGACGCTCTCCTGGTTCTCTTTCAGCTGCCGAGAGTCCCAGTGTGCTGGTGTCACAGCCCTCTGCCAGCGGGAATGCGCTGCCTGCGCCACCATCAGACGCGTCTCAGTCGTTGGAGCTCACCAATAAAGGTAGTGAAGAGTGGAGGGTTCCTTGGCCCTTCACGTAGGGCAGGAACTGTCACCGCATGGCAGCTATGGGCGTGAAAGCCCAGGGCCAGGAGCCCAGCTCCGCCTGCTCCTTATGCTCAGGCTGCCAGACTCCTCTCTGAAAGCCGCCAGCTCTATAGGCCTGGGACACAATGGCCCGAGATCAGTGCCTGTGCGGGGGCTCAGTTTGGATGCTCAGGTCAGCCGAGTTCAGCTTGACAGAAATGACTAAAGTCTTGGTTGTTTCAGCCAGCGCCCTTCTTTGCTCCCACAAAATCCCCTTTTCTCTCCTACCACCCTGCGTGTGCCCCTCTAGCAAGGGCAAGTGGCGCAGGGCCACGCCGGCTGAGGCATGCAGAGGGGTAGTTGCAGTGCAGGCGTGGGCTGCTGCTCCTCCTGGGGGCTGCACGCCCGGCCCTGGGTGGCCAGAGTCAGGGGCTGACCCCGGGGGAGGAGCACTTCCCCAGTCTCCCTGTGGAGCCTGTGTGCTGCTCCTGGACTAGCCGCTAGCCTGCCCACAAGGCCAGAAGCAGCACTCCAGTGCTCACCGCGAGGCAGACACACTGACACAAACTCGCCCTAGCTCGGTGTCTCCTGCCTTTCCTAGAGGAGTTAGCGCTCCGCCTCGCGAGAGCCATTGAGTCTGGGGACGAACAGGCGGCCTCGCAGTGCGCCATGGCGCTGGCTCGGCAGCAGGCCTCCTTGCGCATCCTACTGAAGGAATCCAGCTACCCCCCCAACGAGATCAGGTGAGCCCCTTCGCACTCGCCGTGGGCACCCTGCGCCTCCCCTGCATGGAGCCAAATGCCAGTGGCCAATCTCCCTCGCTCTGCCATTGCTCCTTACTCCTGCCCTGAACATCCAGCCCTTCCAAAGGGGCCCTGGAGCCCTCTGGGGCAGGGGTGGTCTGGCACAATGGGGACCCAATCCTGGCTGGAGCCTCCAGGTGCCACCAGACTAGAAAGAGTCAGTAAGCTTCTCTCCTCTCCTAATGCTCTGCAGAGCAAAGGGTTTTACTTTGCTGGGGCATGTGGGGAGCTCACCTTCAGCACGCCTTGGCCCCTCCCCCTTGCTACTCTGTCACTTGCGTCTTTCCTGGAAAGCCCTTGTGCTGGAGCCCGGGTGTGAGCACCGTGTGTCAGGGCAGAGGTAGTGTCTGGGTGTAACGTGCTGGGCGAGGCAGCGCTGGGATTTCTCTACCCCCTGGAGCCTGCTTGTCCCTGGCCTTCAGGGAGTGTCTAGTAGCCAGTGCAGCACTAACACAGACCCTGCTGACGGGCACCTGGCCTCTTCTCTCAGGATGAAGGTTGGAGTGGAAGATGCGACGTGCTCCGCCAACATCACCATCAGAGTCCATGCTCACATGACCATTGGGACGCTGAGGCAGCAGGTAGGACACGGCGCTAAGGCACCTCCCCTCCTGCGACTGGGCCATGGGATGCCAAGTCCCACTGGCCCACGGAGTCCATCGCCTGCCTTTTAGCAGGGCCGCCCAGAAATGCTTCAGCTGTAAATTCTTAGCCGTGCTGCATGTCTGGAGAGAGAGCTGGGGATCCAGTCTGCTCCTCTCCTCTAGCAGGGCTGGTGGTTCTTCACTGGGGTCTGAGGAATGCTGGTGGACACTAGTTTGAACCCAGCTTGGCGCAAAGCCACAGGGTGGAGCTGAAAGCTTCTGGGAGGCATGCCGTGGGGGGGTGCCGTGGTGGTGGAATGTCCGTTGGCTTCTCCCACCCCGCAGGTTTTCCAGGATTACGGGTTCCACCCCAGCGTGCAGCGGTGGATCATCGGCCAGTGCCTGTGCGTGGACGATCGGACGATAGGCTCGTATGGCATTCGGAAGGACGGAGACACAGCCTTCCTGTATCTGCTGTCAGCCAAGAGGGCCAACCTGTCCGAGCAGCGCTGCGAGGAGGACCAAGTGCTGGTCATGCTGCCCCCAGCCCCCTCGCTCCCAGACAGCTCTGGCACCGACGAGAAACGCAAATACAGCACCTTGCCAAACATGGCTCCAAAGAAAGGTCTGACGTGCTTCCTACTGCTCACAGACGGGAACCCTAGGCGGGGTTGGGGCCAGATCCTCCGCTGGAGTGAACAGGCTCAGCGTCCCCCAAGACGGGAGCCAGCCACCTGGACGTACCCTAGCTGAGGATTGGGCCAGGGGTTTGTTACTGCTGAAATGCTTCCAGTCCCAGGCGCGGGGCCAGAGAGACAGGCACAACTGCAGGGTCTCAATGTGCGGATGAGACAGTGGTGTAGGGAGGAGGATTTAGGAGTATTAGGAACTGGGGAACCTTTTGGGAAAGGAGCCCACGCAGGAAGGATGGGCTCCACCTAACTCACCACAGAACCAGATTGCTGGTGTGTACAATTCAGAAGGTCGAAGGGCTGGGGGAAAGCCGACGGGTGCGGAGGAGCATGTGGGTCAGACAGAGACAGCCCTTAGGGGAGGATCAATTAATGGAGATTCTCTATTTCCTGGTAAGGAGGAGAGGATGGAAGTTGGTAAAGCACAGGTAGGAGGTAGTGAGGAACAGTCAGAGGTAAGAGTCCCATTTAAATCTAACACATGAAGGCAAGGAACTGAATATTGACAGAATGTACAAGGGCTTGTATAGAGTAATCCATGGGACATGGTAATACCAGGGTTCAAAATATACAGGAATGACCGAGTCGGTCACGCTGGTGGGGACGTGGCATTATATGTGAACGGAAGTGTAGAGTCAAATAAAGTACAAATCTTAAATGAATCAAACCGCACCATAGAATCTCTATGGATAGAAAGCCCATGCTTGACCAATAAGTATGTACCAGTTGGAATATACTATTGACCACCTGACCAGGGTGGTGACACTGATTGTGAAATGCTCAGGGAAACGAGAGAGGCTACAAAGGCAGAAAATGCAGTACTAATGGGGGATTTCCACTATCTCCATGTTGACTGGGAACATGTCGCTTCAAGAAGAGATGCAGAGATAAAATTTGTAGACACATTAAATGACTGCTTCTTGGAGCAGCTAGTCCTGGAACCCACAAGAGAAGAGTCAATTCTTGATTTATTCCTAAGTGGAACACAGGATTTGGTCCAAGAGGTGAATATATCTGAACTGCTTGGTAATAGCGACCATAATGTAATTAAATTTAATATCCTTGTCGGGGGAAAAATGCCAAAAAAGAAAACACCCCTATAGCATTTAATTTCAAAAAGGGGAACTACACAAAAACAAGGAAGCTAGTTAAATATAAAGGAAAAGTCGCAAGGGTGAAACATCTGCAAACTGCATGAAGACTATTTAAAAACACCGTAATAGAGACTTGCACTAAATTATACCCCACATAAAAAAAATAGTAAGTGGATCAAAAAAATGCTACCCTGGCTAAACAACAGAGTGAAAGAGGCAGTTAGAGACAAAAAGGCTCCTTTGAAAATGGGAAGTCAAATCCTAGTGAGGAAAATAGAAAGGAGCCTAAACTCTGGCAAGTCAAGTGTAAAAGTCTGAGGCAGAGTCTACTATGAAGTGGTACAACTAGTTCCAAAGCCCTCTTCCCCCTCTCACTAACAGCTGTCTCTTTGAGAGTTCACTGCCAGGTGAGTGATGGGGGCTGGGGAGAGGCTGGCCCGTTTGTGCTGCTACCACTGAAATGGGAGGAAGGGGAGTTGTTCAGCTCCCCTGTAGAGTGCTCTGCCCCCAGTGGGGGTGGGGGGCAGTCAGAGCACAGGGCATTGCATACTGAGCTGTTCCCAGCATCTCACTGGGCAGTCATGGTGCAGATGAGAGGCCTCTTCCCCCGTGCAGTGATCTGCGGTGGCACAGCTCCCTGCACAGCCAGGCCTTGGTGACCGTCCGTGTGACGCTGAACTGCACTGACTCAGCCAGGCGAATTTCAGACCTGGTGTTTGTAACGTGTCTGTTTGCTGGTGTCTGCCCCTCTAGCGTGGGTCGCTGACAACAGCGGGAAGATGAATATCGGAGAAATCAGCCACCATCTGGGCATGCTGCAGCTCACCAATCCCTTACCCAGCCAGTCCAAAGCGCCCCCAGCCGCCGCTGCTCCACCGTCCCCCGTGCAGGTATGCACCCGTCTGACCCCTCCCCCGTGCAGGTATGCACCCGTCTGATTCCTACCCCCAACCTGCCCTCACCTGTGCAGGTATGTGCCCATCTGACACCTTTCCCCGCCTCATCCTCCCCCGTGCAGGTATGCACCCGTCTGACCCCTCCCGCCCTCCCCTGTGCAGGTATGCACCCGTCTGACCCCTACGCCCACCCCACCCCCTCTGCCCCTCCTCTGCTATCATGTGGGCAAGTTTGTACCCTGTCTGGCTGCACCACCCTCCCCTTCAAGAGCCCGGGGACTCAGGCCTGAACAGGCCAGGTGTGAAGAGCAGTGAGTGAGGACAGTCCTCGTGCAGTGGAGTAACAGGCCCGCCTTTCGCAGACACTGTCTCTGCCTGGCGCTGCCTTGGGGCCATCACGGTCAGAGGCCTGGTCCCCTGGGAGAAAGTGCACACACAGCTCTGGGCGGGGGGGCTGACCCCTTCTTTCAGAGGTGGATTTTTTCTGCTTCTGTGTCTGTTGCATGTCCTTCAGCTTGGCAGTCCACCTTCCCTGGGAGCCTGCAGGGGAGACCGTTAACCCGTGTGCTCCCACAGGCGCTGGGGGTGTGGTTCCCAGGCAGTTGATGGAGAAGGCGGCAGCCTCTCCTGCTCGCTCAGTGCTGTGTGGGTGAAGGGCTTGTCTTGTTCTCTGCAGACAGGCTGGTCATGTGCAAAATGTACCTTCATCAACAAGCCCACGCGGCCAGGCTGCGAGATGTGCAGCACGGACCGGCCGGCGGAATACATGGTGCCGGGCAGCTACCGACCGGATGAGACGGAGCTCTGGAGGATGCAGCAGGAGGAAAAGGGGATCTTGCAGTACCAGCAGGTAACTCTGCAGGCAGCTCTGCCCCGGGGGGCAGCCATGGTGCCCGCCCCGTTCTGTCGGGGACAGCGCCAGGGGAGGATGAATCTATAGTAGCTGCCTACCAGCAGCCACTTGGTGGTGTTTCATGAGTGCATGGATGCCCTGGCAAGGACAGCTACTCACCAGGGGCCCCGCCAAGTGGTGCCAGGGAGAGCTGCCCTCTCTAATAGCGAAAGGCAGGCAGGGGGCTGGCAGGGCCCAGCACACAGGGAGCCTGTGGCCCTCGGCCCCTCCAGCCAGGCTGTTACAGGTGAGGGCAGCCACTGGCCATGCTACAGTGGGACTCTGTCGGCGTTTCCCTCACCCGCGCCTCTACAACAGGGCAGCAGTGACTTCGGTAGGGCCCCGTTCACGGGGGCGGTGGGCTTTCCAGCTGTGGGTGCGGGGCAGTGCAGCCCGAGCTTGGCATGACACGGACTCCTGGACTGGCAGCTCCTTCCCTTCTCTTTCAGCTCCATGCCCCAGCGCGCTGTGGGCGGGCACGTGTTTGTCACGTGCGGCGAGTGGTGAGGAGTGGAAAGAGCTGCGGTTGGGCTGGCTTGGCTAGCAAGGCCTTGGCTGGGCTAGTTTGTTGGAGCTGTATTTCCCATGGGGTGACAGCACCAGCAGACGCCCCAGTGTAGACAAGGCTCCAACAGGCTGGGGCTTGGCTGTGCTGTGGCTTCAGCCAGGGGCGCTGCCCCCGTTGGGAACTGTGTCTCCACCTGCTACCCCAGCCAAGGCCCAGAGTGCTGCAGGGCTCCGGCGAGTCAGGCTCGGCGACTGACAAAACTCTTCTCTGCTTTCTTTTTTCTCTCGTGCTGGAATCTCACTAGGAAAAGGGAAGGAGAGAAGATGGCTCGGCCACACACTACACCCAGAGCCCAGGCTCCCTGGATGACTTCATCCACCTCTCCTCGGAATTCTGCTAGCCACGTCTCATGCCTGGCCGCCCTGGACTGCCCCGCCCCAGCCCCTCTCGCGCTGGCCTGAGCCCTCCCCTGCGCTGCCTGGGGCATCCATTTGTGCCGGGTCACCATACTTGGTCAGACTGTAGAGTCAGTATGGTAACTGTGTTCCCACACGGAGAGCAGCGGGCAGGCCGCGGCGTTATACTGTGCTGCCAGTGACTGTGGGGCTGCCAAGCCATGGACAGAGCCACTGCCAACTGGCCTTGGGCCTGCCCCAAAAGGGGTGGATCCCAAGCGAGAGCATGGGTCTCATTGCGCAGAGAGGCCTCTTTCCTGGTGGCTTGGAGGGCTGAGGATCTGGCTGAGCTAGGTCTGGCCTGGCGGGAGTGAGGCAGCTTTCTCAGGCAGTTTCACGTTTGTCTGCATCTTCCCTGCATGGGTTTGGCGATGGTGCTGAGAGACGGAGCGAGTGGAGTATGTGCTAGCACAGGGCCAGGCCATGGGAACGCTGCAGCTTGGAGTGGCTAGTGCTGCCTCCCGTGGCTTGGGGGGTGAGGGCCCTTCGTGGTGCAGGCAGAGCTCTTCCCCACCCTCCATGGCTGGTCCTCGCCTAGGAGGGCTGCACACACCTCCCTACGCGGCTGGAATGGCGGCTTTCACCAGCAGCACCGCCTCTGCGGCAGGCCCAGGCCCTGCCTGTTTGCGTGTGCCAAAGCACAGCTCCTGCACCAATGGTCTGTCTCTCTCGTGCGCGTACAGGCCACGCGCCTTGGGCAGCTGCCACACAGGGCTTCCTGAGGAGGCTGCGTCCCCTGTCGGCATGATGGCGTGTGGCTCCGTGGGGCGAGGGCCCCGTGGTCTCTGCCTAATTCTTTTAGGGGAGAGCAGTGTAGGCAGATCTGACGCCCCTGCAGAGCGGCACTGGCTGCTGCCGTCAGTCACTGCTGTGCTCTCCGTCAGCGTGGGGAGCCGGGAGGGGAGGGTGGGGTCCCCGCCCGGTATCTCTCCCCGGGAAGTCCCTGCCTCCCTTCCGGTTATATACACTGCAGTTAGTGCTGCTGCCAGGCAAGTTGGGAGAGCCGGGGAAGGAAGGGAAGCGCCTCCCAGAGAGCCACTCTCATCCCAGGCTTCAGGGCGCTTGTTCCGTTAGCCTTACAGACAACAAGGGGGGTGGGTGCTGCTGGGGATCACCCTCCAGCCAGCCAGACCAGGAGAGCTGCAGAGGTTGTTGGCCGGGGCTAGAAAAGGGCCCATTTCCCCAGGGCGTAGGGCCTGACCCCTGCCAGGCCAGCTCCAAGCCTCTTGTGCCCCTGGGAATTGCAGTGCCTTGCGCCAAACCACGGGAGCCAAACTGCCCAGCCAAGAGCTGTGCTGAACCGACACAGAATAGAGCCAGCTGCAGGTGCAGCCCCTGGCCAGTCCAGGCCCCGCCTGCTGCAGGTGGAGGCTGCTCAGGCTACGATGCAGCACTGCATGCTGGGGCCCCTGTATTAAAGTGGGGAGCTGCTGTGGGCTGCACCTGCCCTGCCAGCCATGTGTGGGTCACCTGCACGAACACTTCCTGCGTAGCCGTGGGGTGTGCGGCTCCGGGACCCCCCGGGGGAAAATGCAGGCTAGAGCCAGCCCCCCAGCTCAGGAACTCCTGCACCTGCCTTCTGGAGTCCCACATGCAGTGGAAGGGCAGGGCCTCCTCTGTGCTTAAGCTAGTACGGTCGTGGGGCTGGCGTTGGGTGCAGGGCCGCATGCCTACTCAGCTTGGGGAGGGGGTGAGTGCTTGAGTGACTTCCTGCCTGAGGAAGGAGGGTTTGACAAATGCTGGAGCAGGAGGAGTCCAGAAGAAAGAGCCCTGAGCTGGAGCTGCAGCTTAGAGGAGATTGGTTTGACTCTGGTTACGGGACAGGAGTGGCAGTGTCGTGTGAACGGGGACTGGACAGAACTTCTCTCCCAGGAGTGTCAGGACTTGCAGTCAGGCACTGGCCTGGCTCGCAGTGTGGGGAGGGTAAGGGAGCCACCTGCTGAATAGGCCAGAGATGAGCCAGGTCTGGAGGTGCACAGCCCGCCCTCCAGCCGTTTGTCCGCTGTCGTGGTTTTACTGCGGAGGAAGGTGAAGGGTGTGGTCGCTCTGCTGCAGGTACGGAAGCAGCAATGCAAAGCTGTCAGTGGAGATGGGACTGGAATCCCAGGCCAAAGTCACAAGCCTCTTGGGATGGGCCTAGTGCTGATGTCCAGACAGACCTTGTCTGCGTGTCTCCTGTGAAACAAAGATCCCCCGTCCCAATAGCACTTTACTCTGGGAAGAGATGATGCGAGCCCCTCTCGTTACCTGCATGCACTGATACTGTGAGGGCGGGTGGGCCGGAGTCACTTGTTCTGTGTTGCACTTTGTGTTTGAAATCTCAGCCCAAAGCCAGTCACCAGCTGTAGGGCAGAAGTGGCCACAGCGTCTGCGAGACACGTGCTGCTCCCCTGCCGGGAGAGCGCGGCTCTGACACCAGTGCGCTCAGGGTGCCATGTGGTATCCGGCTGAGGCTCGCTGGCACCAAATCCTTAGTGGGGAAGTCTGGCCTGCAGAGACTACAGCTCCCAGCATGCAATGCTTCAGTGCCCTGGCAGCTGGGAGTACGATGGAGGAGCACAATGGGAACCAGTAGTCTCTGTGACTGCCTATGTGATGCTGGGCCACGCTTTGGGCTAGCAGAGCATGAGCTCCTCCTCTCCTGTAGCCTCTTGTGGTGCAGTCTGTGCCCAGTTCCTTGTATGGAGTGTGACGGACAGTGATTGCTCAGCTGCAGGTACTGGACGAGTTCGCACCTGAGTTCCTTGGTCTATTAAAGATTTCTCCAAAGAGCGCGTCTATCCTGGTGTGTTATTGGGCAGCCGGCAGGGACTTGGGCCCGGTCTGTACGGAGACATGCAGCATTGGACTAAAGGGGTGTTTCCAAAGAGGTGCTGGCCCTGGCTAGATGCTCTTGTGCCTTGAGGGGCTGATTTGGGTTCGTTTAATCTGTTTTTTACTGGATTACGCTAACTCAAAAGGAGCCAATCATAGCAACACACAACAGCCAGATGGGATCAGAGCCCGGGGTCTGGTCTCTCACGGCGTTACCTGGGGTTTCTCAGAACCCAAAGCAGGGGTAACGTAACTGTTTCTCTCCAGGCAGTGTCAGGAATAAGTCAATGGGAACCCAGCGCTTCCGTCTGATAAACGATTGATAAAAGCAAGCGTGCTCTTACTAAAACTACGATTTATTAGATATTAAGCGCACACACATACGCAATAGGTTTAAGACATCCCAGATATAGTTACCCACAGTCTGAGATGGTTTCAAGTAATCATTATCTGGGCTTCCAGGGGCCCCCTTTCTGTCCAGCTGACGTGGAGTTTAGATGTCAGCTCCTTGCCCAAAGAAAAGCTCCCTTGGACTTCTCTGAGGTATTTACTTTTACCTAATCTTTTATAGCTATCTCTAACAAAACACATAACCTATAGTGTCTCCTAGTGGGTCAATATATAACAACCTCTACTGGGTCACCAATTCTCCCAATTTCAACAAACTACTCATTATCTCCAAACATTTCTAATATTTCTATCCATAACAACAATACATCAGGGGCACCTTAAACCATGAGCTCTTCACTCAATCTCTTTCATAACTTTCTCTCCCATTCTGATTAACAAACTGCAAGTATGCAGCTGTCTGACCTTATCTCACAAAGGACTAAGATTGTTCCTAGCTATGCGATGTTTGCTGTTCAGCTGGCAGTGCTGCATGTACGAAATGGCTGACTGCAGTATTGTCAGGTTCTGGGGTACACGCAGGAATGTCAGATTCCGGGTGGCAACACTAGGTTCTGCAGAGGAAGGTGCAAGAACCTGGCAAGAGGCGATGTGGGATAATCTGCCCCCAGCCCCATCTCCTGGTCTCTGTTAGTCAGAGATTGGCTTCTGCCCTGAAAGCAGCAGGTTTTCTGTCTCTCCTAAAGCTCCTCTCTTAGCACTTGCTGCTCTAACTCTGGATGTCCGTGTTAATCCTTTTTGGAAGCTTGTTAATAAATCGCCAGTCCTACAGC